AGAAAACTGATTATCGCCGGTTATTGTTGTCACGGGATATTTTTGATGCCGGTTATTTTGCCGCCAGGTTATTATTTACCGGATCATTTGTCGCGGGATATTATTTATCGGATCAAATGACGTGTCACGATAAATTTAACTGATCATGTAGGCAAATAAGTGGTAAATGGTAACTTGTTTAATAAATACATTACCTATCAATACATTGGTATGTAGTCACTAATTATCATTGCATAAACCTTACATCTACGGCTTAACTTTTTGAAAAAAAAAATATATTTTTCAAAAAGTGGTACGAGAGAATTTTCAAACTGTGCAGAAACGCCAAGATAAAAAGGTTGAGAACCGCTGCACTAATCAACTGTGACCGATACCTATTTAGGATGGGGTTAGTGTGGAGTGTTATATCAACAAAAATGACTCCTTAGGAATAACTGTTTTTTTTTATTGAAAAGAAAAAGACTTTTTACAGCCCACATTGAATTTTGATTTTATTTTAAACATACAAAATTGTGGAAAAAGTTTAAAATTGACTTTTTTATAGGCCAATGAGATTAAATTTATTGAACAACAAAGTTCAGTGTACATTGTAGAATATTTCCCTCTATTAATAAAAAAAAAAATTATCAAATTTGGTTGATTCCACAGAACATGTACATTATTCTTGTAAAATTACATTAGTACTAGTCACCTTAAAAAAAAACTCACTGTACTAATTATTGGACAACTTTTTATTTTTAATAAAAGTAGATATCATTAATATCTTGATTTTTGTCTAAAATTAGTTGTAAAATAATTATAAGCAAGAAAATTAAGGTTAAAAATTTGGTGAATATTATTAATAATAAAACAAGTAATATAGTACTACGTAGTATATAGTTACTATATATAGTAATATAGTAATAAGTGTATTACTTAGATACCGGTATCACAAACATACAAACTGTACCAAGCAAATTTTATTGTATCAAACTAGTATGTTAAATATCTATAGAAATTAATCTAAAAAGTATGCATATGCACACACAGTAACATGTGTAAAATGTACTTGTACTAAAGTATTTAGAACTCAAGGCCATTCAAGAATATACACCTGGAATATATTTAGATGGGTAAATAATTGTTCTATTCTAAACATTAATTTATAATATGTAAAACTTTAATAACTTAAAAATAATTTATTTTATTTAATGCAGTTAAAAGAATGATTTTTCAAAAGAACTTGTTAACCTAATGATTGATTTGGTATATTATAGTAGTGATCATATTAAAGAACTGCAATTATTATCTACACACCATAGGCACCTGGTAGAATTGTGCAGCAATATTGCAATAATTATATGTTATACCTTTATTATCTACCTATACAATGATCATACTTATTACATCACCATTCTTCTATTAAAATGAAAACACTTAAATTAAGTTTAAAGGTATAACAACAATTCACTTAAAATGTATACAATTCAAAAAATATTGGTAGGTTCACAAATACATTTAATTGATTTTTTTATTAAGTAAATAGGTACATAATCAAAGAAGAAGAAATTAAAACATTTTGAAAATATTAAGATGAAAAAGACTACTTATCATGCAAATGTGTTAAAATTACAATTAATTAAATTATTAACTTAATACATTAAATCATTTAAAAATGATCTCATAGAACTGTTAATACCTACTATATAGCGCAACAAATTTCATTTGTTAACATTTTTCAAATCTAGAAAAAATGATTTAGTGTCATCTGTGATTAAACATGTTTCATGTTCTGGCTAAAAAGGCTAATTTAACATATTTTGTTAAACTATGTATGGACTTTATGTACTATGTGTACTTACTATGTACGATTGCTTATTTGATATTTCATAGTTAGGTTTATAAATTCCTATTATTCTATAGTGGTTACTAGATATACTACGCCCAAATAAGCATGAGTACTTAGTACCTACTATACTAAGTACTTCTAAACAAGACATGACATTAAAAAATTATTTTATTCTAATAACTTAATTTGTTACTAAATATAGAGACTGTATGAAATGCAAAATACTATAACGTCATTGAAAGATAATTTTCATTGATGTTCTTCCTTAAACCCTATATCAATAAATACAAAGAGATTACATCATGTTTTGTTTTTAAAATATAATCGTAACTAATTCACATTACAATAATATTATTATTGCTATTTTATCCATTGATAGGAGTTGTAAAATGCTAGTATAATTTAATCAATGATTATAATTTATAATATACTATTACATATTTAGTTCTGTACTACTGTCACAGAGGCGTTATTGTACCCAACTGATTTAATTTGCACACTTATTTGGATTACATTGGTCGACTTAAATTATCTAATACAAATTTTGATAAAATATAAATCATGTCGCTAAATAAGCGTGTAAAAATAATTTAAATGTGAGTAGCAATAATTATTATTTACCTCGATTATCCTTTGTATTTTTCTGCCGATAACAAGGATTGACAAATAACTGCGAAATTACAGACAGACTGAAGAGAGAAAATTATTATGTATCCAACACTACTGTAGCTACACTAGAAAAAAAAACATTTCAGAATAATGAATAGTGAATATTGTGAAATGCGCGTTTGTGTTATCATTGCAGCAGTGGAACACGAACAGTGCGTACTATATACCACGGCGACGGGTACCTGTTGATTTCATTGAATAGTGATTAGGACATTAGGTAAACATTATTGTTGTGGTTCCACACGTCTTCCACCATATTATTATTTTCTGTGCATGTATTGATGTATCACGTCATATTTTCATACACATGTTATTATAGTTAGTGAGATCTACTTACCACTGTCGCCGTACTTCTTATCACAATTAAATAAATATGTACCCTAGATCATTATATATCCCATATGCATACACATATACAAATACATAAGTATCTATGATGTATAATATGATCATTATGATCTATAAGTAAGTACTAAGTAATGGCTAATACCTATATATATTTTATTTAAGAGGTCGCAACAACCACATGTGTCTCCGTCTTACGAGCTCATAACATTAAATGGTTTGTACATTTTAAAATACTCATGACTTGCTTTAAAATTAAAATATAAAAAAAAACCTATGAGATTGACTACATAATATTCTTAATTCTAATTTCTAAATTTTAAAATATATTAATTCATTCTATTATAAATTTATAAATATAACATGGCAGTATAAAACCTATTACAGTCTACACTCAACGAGCTACAGCCCTATAGTAATATTGCTATACTGGCTAGTGGCTACATACTTACCAGTACAACACTCAGGCAATCAGGCCCTAAACTGAATGTTCTTGTGGGCCCTATACAAAATGTCCAATAAAACACAACCCATTACAAGCGATACGAGTGTCCCATATGGATATGAGTATATGCGATTTTAGATTCCGAGCGGAGCGATGAATGTATTGATTTTACTATGATGTACGTTTTTATATATTTTTTTTTTTTGATGTCTGTCATCATGATTCCTTGCAGTAAAAGTGCTTCGATTTTCTTAAATAGCACCATTTCTGGTAGGAAAGTGAATCTAGTTGGTATATTTGGGAGGTCAAAATATAAAATTCCAAATAGTTTTCAAAAGCAACAAGAAAAGCAAAGGAAAAACGTGAATTTTTAAGCAAAACCATTTTTCGGAAAAACCTATTTTGGTTTTTAGTGTAACACTAATAAAAATGACCGTAGATACATGGAATGTTCACTGAATATTTGTGTGAGCGTTTTATACACCATGACATTTTCAAAATATTTTAATTTATGTTAAACTATTTATAGTCTTATAGACATATTAAATTGTCGATTATTATTTGTTTTTTAAGTCAATAAAAAATGTTTGCGAGCGTTTAAACTTAGAATTTTGATTGACCTATAGCCTATATAGAATTGTGCACATTAAAGCCCGTGCTTATTTCATACTATGAGAAATTTTTGTACATGACCAATAACATATTCAATAATACAATGTACACAAACATATTACACACATAGTACAAGACATAGTGTACGATTATAATTAGATAATTCACTTGATATAAAGATTATTATATTTTTACATAGGCAATAGAAAAACAAAGTATAAAATCGTAAATCCATGAAATATGATAAATGTATAGATAAAAAAAATGATAAATATGCCAACATGTCTCAAAAATCTGAAATTAGTAGGTACTTAAACGAATAAAAAAAACCAACATTTTAAATTTCGATTCTTTGTGACCTATGCGGGTAAATTATGATAAAAAGTAAAATATTCGTCAAATGTACAACAATTTGCAAATTTTTTTATAATTAATTCATATGAAATTCTAATAGATCAAGTTTGAGAATTCAATTCAAGGTTCTTCAAAAAAATTTCTCTCGGCATTTGATTGTTTTTAAAATAAAGATGTAGCCATAATTTTTTGTACAAATCAAAATGTCGCTGAAGTTACGATTTAGATAAAATTAGATATTTAGCCAGCAAAAATAATTTTAGTTATATTGTTGCAATAAAAAATTGTTTAATTAAATAGGGACTTGAAACTTATGAGTTTTGATTATTGCGTATAGTTTTATTTAATTAATAATGACTGTATCACCTAAATTACCTACTAATATTAATATTACTAAATATCCTCAGACTTCAGAGAGATAAAGACTGAACAGTGAAACACCTCTCCGGTTAGAATCGTTTTACTTAAATAATGATTTATCGTTGAATTCGAATTTAACACGTCTCCATTAGATGTGATCCATTACAGTGATCTACTCGGCAAATACTTAAATATAACGATTAATGATAAAGTACAAGTACAATAATACATTATACATGATATAGAGAAGGGATATTATTGCAGTGTTTCCGGTTTTGCAGTTATCAACAAGTTTTTGGTGCAGTGTGCCTTTATAAGTAATTTTCCAGCATCCCTTTAGTTACTATGGTAACCCTGGATGGCTGGATATGTAATAAAAATCAATAACATATAGGTACGTACTTACAATATATCTAACCTGTGTTGAGAACATACTACATACCTTACCTAAATAGTATCTGCTTAAAGTTTTTATAAAATATATTTATTTGTTTTTTATAAAACAAAATGTCAAAAACGACATCATTGGACATCGACGGAATGAGTGAGTTATGAACATTTTTCTTTCATAAAATAAAATACTATACGTTTGACTCAATTTGATAGATGCTTTAATAGGTATCTAAGAAAAGGATACTAAATAATAATAAAATTAATAATTTTGAGTGTTTTCACGAAATGGATAAAAAAAATAGTTAAAGGTACAGGATGATTCACCAAGTATGGTCACTCCATTTTCTTCAATAATGCGAATAATAAAATTCGAAATCTGATTTTTTGGAATTTTTAAATACATTTAATGATAATATTTTTCAATTTTTTAATTATTTTGTACTATTTAAGAAGTGTCTAGTAAAGAGTGGATGTACAAACTTCTGGTTTTAATATAAAAACCCTCCTTTTTTACTGTAAATTATTTAGCACGTATTAAATCTGACATTTTTGTAGTTTCAAATTCAAAATTTGAACATGTGTTTTTGAGTTATTAAACTTTCTGTGCTATGAATTATAGGTTCATGGTGATGGGTTTGGACGATTTTGAGGCTATAGCGAATTGAACAAATTAGTAGGTAGTTACTAATTTATAATTATATGGTTAATAATTAATTCATCAATATTTATAATTTTTAAAAATGGTGCATGTTACTAAGTATAATAAATACTAGATCCAATATTACATATATTTTATATTTTTGTAAGACCATTTTTAGGAATACCATCCTTAGAATAGATAATTTCATAACTGAAAAAACTTTGAATTTCAAATTAGGTACGTAAAAATAGTCAAAAAAATGGTTCATCAGATAATTTAAGCTAAATTTTATGGTTGTCATTTTAAAGTCAGAAGTTTGTAAAACCACAGTACAATATCGTCATTAATCATATTTAAAAAATCATGATTTGAATAAATTCATTATTAAAGAAAATATAATAGGAGGGAGCGTGCTTGGTAAATACAAGGTATATATTTATACCATAATCACATATTATATTATAAGTACACTATGAAGACAGTATGAATACAAGTCAAACGATAACGGATAAAATAATTTAATTGAAGTATAAAATTATATTATATACATGTGAATGTACCAATTACCTATACTTCTATATTCATTCGCATGTGTATTATGTTATTGCCATTTTAGAGGATATAATAAATATACAAATAACGTAAAATAAAAAAATATTTACTATATAGCTTTTTAGTGCTACATTTTTGACTTTAGAGTAGGTACATTAATATATTCTACATGTATTGTTTGAGCTATCAACTATGACCTAGATAGGTGCTTATTAATTTATATATATTACTATTTATACTTTATACCTATTACCTACCTGTCCTACCTGTACAATTAATGTTTAATAATCAAATATTCCGAACACGTATATAAAATATAAATGTTAATATATTAATAAATAATAATATATGTAGATTAATGAGACATATAATATATTATTACGTATAAATGTATAGAAAAAAATATATAGTATAAATTAATTTACACAAAAAAGTTGTACTTCAAATATATCACATTATTCATAAGGACATAAAATATATACTATTTTATGTCCTGATAAATGGAATGTAGTATTTATAGACAATGGTTTTAAGTGGGGTTTTAGTTTATTATAAATTCATACCTAAGACATAACAAATAAAGACGATGTTACAAAAATAATATTTTTGACTATGAATCAATAAAAATAATTATGGACATAATAATGGTAAATTGGTAAATAGTAATACTATGCTTAACTAGATAATATAAGATATTCTTACGTGGTCCTAACTCGTGACTATAGAACAGGTTGTCCATCTCTGATACGATATATCACTCGTGACAGATAAATACCAAACGGGGAAATACGAGACTACTTTTATGTTAAATTTGACAACTTATAGTTATAGAGACCATAGGTAGTAGGTACAATTTAATGTATAAATTGTTCTCAGTAATTCAAAAATGTAAAACTGTATTGTCTGTATCGTATTCATACACGAACATTATTTGAAGTCGATATTGTAATAATTGTATTAATACCAATTGACGTTAAGGATCGTACACAAAAATACGATACCTATATTAAGAGCTCCCCTGCAACTACAACAATTTTTGGCATCTATATCACGCATGCAATGTTTTTTTTTTTTTATTAGGAACTTTGTAGTACAATTAGTTTAATGCATGCAATGTTATAAAGTAGTAAATTGTGACGCAGTTAGATTATCAATATTTTTCGGCATTTGAAGTACTAATAGTAATTAGCTCTTAATTGATAAGTTGTGATTATCGAAATTTGTAAATAGGTTCTGTCGTTCTATGCTTATAGTCTATAATCTATAGAGCACAGATGTAAATATTATTTTTGTTCTCAGGCGCTGAAGAGAAAATCGAACAAATTAAAATGATGCGAGATTTGATTCGTCTCAAAGAGAAGACAGGGGATGGATGTAGCTCTGCGTTTCAAAAGATCGGGAAGAAAAAAAACCTTATCAGCGACACAGTAATGTCTGCTGTATTTGTAACTAGTTTCGTTTTGATTGTGGCAATGGCATTGTATTCGTTTCGAACTTTATATCTTGCCATACAGAAAAAATTTCCTTCCCAGCACACAGAATTGTAATAACGGACACAGCGAAATGAAACATTTTCTATTATTTTAACTTTGACATTTACATTAACATTGTATTATGTAGGTACTATAGATAGTTTTAAATTTTAACATAGTCAATACAGATTATCCTATTAAAAAATATATACAATAATTAGAAAAAATATTGTATTGTATTGTACATGTCTTAGAAACTAGTTTTTAATTAAATTAACACTTATTTATTTCCAGTTTCAATTAATTTTTTTAAAATCGTCATATTTTCTGAAGCCACCGCTTGTCGATAAGAAGTTATTGTATCTGTTCTGTTATTATTTACTAAAATAACAAAATTACATTGTATTAATTATAACTTCTAATTTGACTTATTATTATAATATATGACATAATTATGACAGTATTATATAGACTCTACTAAATAGAAATTACCAACTATTTAGGTATATGTTAATAGACTAGGTAAAGATAAACTTAAATAACAATTCATAAGTATGAAGAAATCTAATATTGTATAAATTGATTTTATAATTTTATATTGATTGGATTCTCATTTTTCGTAAACTCGATTTTCAAAAAGATAAAATTATAACGAAACCCAAAAAACTGAGCGTTAGTAAAACATTTGAATAATAGGTAGTCTATAAATATACCTGTAAGGCTGCATGTACTTACTTATACTTGTTTACCTATCTTTATTTATAGTTATAGCTTAATATATATTGTTATTACTAATATTAATATCTATGTACTTTTTTTTATATAAATTACGACCAACCTCTAAGACGAGAAGCATTCTGTATAATATTATTTATTTTCTTCAGTGTAACTAATAATTGTTCATGGTTTTCACATGTAACTTGATGGTTTTGAATCATTTGTTTATCAATATGAAATATATCGTTTAAACATTTTTCCATGTTTGACCTTAATAAAAATCTCAAGCAATTTAAGTAATATGTTGAACAAAATAACTATCTTTCTTACGTGTCATCTAAAAGCCGAAAGTCTTCTGCTTGAACAATGAGATTTTTCAACAAAGCTGAACTATCGGCTATGGAAGCATTTAATTTAACTGCGTTCTGCTGGAGAGTCTTAACACTTTGTATACTTTCCCATAAATCATCAAGAACTTTGGGAAATTCTGCTAGGGACTATACATAAAAACAATCAATAAGTATTACTCATTAAATACCTATTCCTACTGTAAGATTAATAAACTCACTAATACACGTAACTCACATCAATTTGATCGAGGTTAAGATATGATGCTAGCGTCTGTACAATATCGGCTGTAAAGTTTATGTTCAATGAATATATCAACATCACCTCTTTTTCAAATGTTACACAAGTAAGAGAAGAATCTCTCAACGACTTAATTGCTATTTTCCAAAAGTCTTGACCATTGGTTTTAACAGGAGTTTTTTGGGGCACAATAAAATTTAGACTTAACCATAGATCCAGCTAATAAAAATAAATTAAAATTATTTGAATAATACAAACAAAATGTATAAATATATTATATCTTACTCTTTGAACCCTTTCAACTAAACGAAATTTGACAAAACTTTTGGGAACATCTTCATTTTCCGGATAAGAAACTAATAAATACATTGAAAATTTTGGTAACTGTCGGGTAAGTTCAAAAACATGAAATTGATCATTATCCACACTTGATCCAACAAAAGCCTAAACAAATTTAAATATTACTTTCGTTTACAAATTTGCTTAAATTTATTTTAAAAATTATTAGATATTAATACTTTTTAGGGTATTCAAAAAGTTGTTTTTAGTGGTTTGGGCCTATAATATATAAGTATATACTAAATAGCAACAATATTACAAATAAATATTATTAACTATCTTTATATATATAATTCTACTGTACGTGTGTTTGTTACTGAACTCCTAAACGGTTGGACCGAATTGAATGATTTTTTTTGCTCAAACATGGATTTTAAGATTAACGAAGGAAATATTTGTTTACATACGGTTGCTATTGGTTATAAGTGAAATATTAATATATTTACTATCTAGTAAAAATTGGTATTTTTTTATTTTTATTAGTTGCCTGCAGTGGTTCATCGGGCAGATCAGGTATAAGCATGCATACAATTGAATTTTCGCACATAGCTTACCAAGGTGGCTGAGTTCACTTATAACCGCTCATCGACGTATCCGCAATAAAAATAAAAATAAAACATATTATTTATATAAAGACTCATACTCATCAAGCGGGGTCCGCAATCCACAGCAGGTAGGCATAATATATACTGCTCTAAAGTATGTTATATTTGGTTTTGAATTACAAGAAAATAACGAAATTGATTTCTTCAAAAATTGGTGTTGAGTAAATATTCTGGTTTTTTTATTTGTTTTTTGTTTTCCCCGATTATTACGAACACGAAATGGAATTGTCCACTTTGGACCACTTTCGTTACAAGCCTATCTTACTATAATTTACGTCAAGTTTCTAATGATATTCTATGATGTACAGTAATAATATAGTTATATACATACAACATACGATTAGATTATGTGTTTCTGATAGTCAATATTGAAAATATTTTTAGTTATGTTTTTAGTGCAGTTCGTTTTAAACTTATCAACGTGCATTATAGTTTTAAAATTTCAAGTTTAAATCTAAACCACTTGAAATGTTTTATAATTACCACCTAAAATATGTGATGAACGACGTATACATATTCAACGAATCATATATAGGTGGGTTCATATTTTTTTATCGAAAATAAAGGTGAACTATTATGTTTAATTTGCCAAAAAACTATTTTATTTGTAGGAGAGTATATTAAACATCACTAAAATGAACCATGAAATAAAATTGAATAGTCTCACTGAAGATTTTAGACAAATAAAAATAAATAACTAAAAACGTTCATTAAATAATTAACAAAATAATTTTAAATTACAACATGATCAAAATGAATTAAGTACCTAGACGTTGTACGTACTAGTTAGAAGTTGCCGAAAAGGTTGACAAGTGTAGTCGCCCATTTACTGACTCTGGATTTACGAGTATGAAAAAAATGTATGTTAGCTATTGTAGATGAAATATATGCTGTGAGAAAAAAAACAATTTGAAGGAAAATTTGTACCTCAGCTAGAACGATAGAAAAGTTTAAAACAAATTTCATTTTAAAACTGAAAGAAAAAATGTCTACTTTCGATTGTTCTTCTATAGCAATAAGTGAAAGTATTGATACTTGTGGCATTTTTCAGTTGTAAGGCGATTGCAAAAGGATAGTTTTTAAGGAGTCAAAAGGGCTTGATTCTTAATCTGGCCTTTTTAACTGATGTATCAACTTTATTTAATGAATTGAATACGGCATAGTTTTAGAGCCTGTAATTATAACGATACTATAATGTAAAATATTATTGAATATTATTATCACTTACTAGTTATAATATACTATACTTTAGGCTTTAGCTAGCTGATCCCACGCACTTCGTTGACCGTTAAAAATGCCATCTCTATATAAGAGACTTTATGGTGATAATGCAATCAGTATTATTATTATTATTATTATACAATTTACACGTGTAATATTAAAAAATATTTTGTGTGAGTCACCCTTTACACCTAGGGGTATAAAAAATAGCTTACATCACTCTCTGGGATATACTTAATACATACAACATTTCATGAAAATTGATCCAGCCGTTTTGGAGGAGCTTAGTAATAAACAGTTAGCATATTGTGACACGAGATTTTTATATAATAGATGATCTAAAGAAACGGAATAAGTACTTTATCTATAATAGCTACATATACACATATACATATACATATCAATATGGCTAATTCCTATTATTTATAGTTTCGGAATCTAAGCTATACGTAATTTATATTTTCTAAATAACCACCAACATTGTAATCGTAACATAGGTTGGTAACTATGTACCAATAGCGTATACGAACATTATTCATACAAATGGTTAATAGTAATATACTAATATCTAAGGGGTAGCGGCTATGAACTAAATGCTTTAAAAATCCTTAAAATTTCAAAAAAGTCAGTATACACGTTTCCAAATTGAATAATAAAAAAAAATTATTAATTGATTAATTTAATTTTACCCAGTTCAAACTCTGTGTTAAAGAAGCTATATGTCTTCCAGCTAACTAAATATAATGTAATAATTTCTACACATAGGTATTCGCTTCAGACGATAGCCAAGGTAATATAAAAATTATGCCTATACCAATCCATAATACCTATATGTGTAAATGTTAAAAAAAATAATATGAAATTATTATTATTATTTCATTAACAAAGTAATCATATATAAATATATTCAGAAATTCCTATATAAAATTGTGGAAATTGTGTCCTGCTTTTTCTTTTTTTGTGGGGAAGAAGCGTATTTATAGCTGATTTATGTGGCTTAGCCATCCGATCTCACCCAAATTTTCTCAAATTATGGCTAAAAATAGTGCCATCTATATCAATAAGTACATTTTAATTATGGGGTTTTATTAAAAAATAAATATTAAATGCACAAGATACAGACATACAGTTTTTTTCCTTACGTAATGCAAATTTATTAGACTAATACTTACTCGAATATGAATGTCCAGAAGTATATCTTTCGGAGGTAATAAAGTGATTTTCAATTCAGATGAAACACACTCTTTATCTGGATGTACGACATGTGTTTCATCTTCAAAAATACCTTCGGAAAACACTGTGACTGCTTTTAAAATCATTGAATTGTTAGTTGATAATGTAAGTAATACACATGGTTCCTATACAAACGAATATCTAGTGAATAATGAAATTATATTGATCACAAAACTATTAGTAAATATCAAAAATCAAAATAAACATACGATAGTTTCTTCCGAAACTGATACTTCAGTGATAAGCCGCGTGTCTCCCTAAACAACAATATATATCACAATGAAAAAAATGCATTGTAGATTACATGCGTATTGGCACATCGTAATTTTAAATGGTAATAAGAAATTTTCCTTTCAACAGTTTTTAAAGAAAGATAATTTTTCTTCCCGTGTTAAATTTAAAATTATTCAGATTTTTTATCGTGTCTAACCTAATAGGTATGGAAAAGGAATATTTTTGGAATATTTTTTAGAAATGTATTTTTATTTGTCAAAATTAAGTCAGGCAATATGACAAATTGGTCTGAAAAAGTATCAAATATATTATCATCACATTGATCTGGGAACAAAACTATGTTAATTAATTTAAATTTTAAATTCCTACCTATAATATCTACATAATATATTATAATACATGCACTATAGTACTATATACCATAATATTAAAAAATATATAGTAATAAAGTGATAAGAAAAAAAACCTACTGGAATACCCTGGCCTTCATTAGAGGCCTTAGTGTAGTTATTTAATTCCGACATCAGTATCTGTCTCTTTTGCAAAAGATCGTGAATAACATTTGTTTGAACACCAGATTCTACTTTTAAACTTGTACTATCGTATCCTCGGACTAGAAAATCATGTTAATTACATTAATTATAACAACTAATAACAATAAAAATAATGACTTGCATATTTATTATTTTATGAGAAAATAAATTTGCAATATTATAGTATACATTAATTGTTAAGTGTTAACATTCTTACCTTCGCCAGCGATCGAAACTACGATCATTTGACATTTTCCGGCTCTTACATAATCTCCAACAACTACACCAGCAATGCTATTCGATAACACATCTCTAAAAATTACTTCTCCAGTTATAGAGTTGCGTGCATCTACTTTTCCATTTGACCATCCAGTAATTAATTCTTCTTTTCCATCTCCATCTAAATCATATTTTTCGAGGAAATTCACTGAACTTTTTGACTAAAATTTATTATGATTTTAAAAAAAAACCATTTCAAAAATACAATTAATTTTTAAATAAAACGTCTATAGTTTTTATTATAATATATTATTCAATATTAGTAAATCAAATATAATAATAAAAATAAATAAATGTAAATCCTTATGTCTATGGAAAAATACATACAAACTGATATAAGTACTAATTATTATTCATTTTTACCTTGACTCTCCAAACACGTCGAAATTTATCGTATACACCAACAGTTCCATTATCTAATGCATATGCAAATCTTCCAGTAGAAAAACTAATCAATGAACAAATGGATGAAGTTTCAGATATTTCATCTACAATTATGTCATCTTTAAATTCCCTGATTTCATAATCTTCAGAACCTACGAGTAACTGAAATATAAAAATTTATTTTTTTTTTTAAAGTACCTACTACAGTCTACAAGTAAGAAATTACAATTAAATTATGATACATAGGTTATGTTCACCATAAAATGATGAAAATGTAATCATGATCAATGCTCATCCCGTAGTAAAAATTTTTTTTTTTATTGTATGTATTGTAATGTATTATATAGTATATAGTATACAGTATATACATAGGCGCAAATTGACTAAATTTTTTGGGGGGACTCAAGCTCCCCTCCCCATAGGCTATAATATAAGAAAAATTATAGTACTAATTACTAGATTTTTAACTGTAGGGACTTGACCGAAATTAGGGGGGTCAAGTCCTCTCAAGCCCCCTCCTCTATTTGCACCGATGAGTATATACTATTATATCCAATTATATGTCCTTTTTCACCTAACGTTAAAGCCGTTAAATGTGACGCTAATGAGTAATTTCTTTCTCTTGTAATATTTTACATTATACTCTTATCAGTGCTAAGTAAAGAGCCTCATCATGAGTATAGCAGTCCATTTTTTATTTTATATACGTTATTGGTATAGATCATGTATGACTTACGATTTATAAATAAGAAGTTATACCTATTTCAAAAAGGCCCCTATCTATTCGGGACAATAAGTACAATGCACATAGAAATATAGAATTGTGGTAAAATAAATATCACCGGATTTTAAAAAATACAAATTAAGTTTTAAATTTAAATTCATGGTTTTAACTAAGCCCGAGTTACGTATTGCAATAAGAGAGACATAGGAGTGTTCGAACTTGCCGCCGTTATTAATAAAATGCATCTCAGAATTTAAGAGAACGTTATACCCGCATGTGTTGTCTCCGTCTTACAAGTGCTTAACATACTAAATTGTACACTCGGAAGATCACGTTTAGCTCTGTCAATTTAAAAATTAGAGTAAATTGACCTCTTATTAAAGTTAAAGATAAGAATATTGTGGAGGGCTTCTCATGGGCTTTTTATTTTATTTTTTAATTTTAAAAAGAGTTAAGAGTATTTTGAAATTGAAAAATTGTTTGTACAACTTAAAATACTCATAACTCTCTTTAAAATTAAAATATAATAAAAAGCCCAAGAGAAGCCCTCCATAATAATCTTGCCTTTAATTTTAATAAGAGGTCAATGCACTCTAATTTTGAAGCTATAACAGCTAAACGTGATCTACTGAACGTAAAAATTGTATATGCTACGCTCTTGTAAGTAACAATACATGCGGGTACAAAACGTTCTCTTTACAAACTCATATACGTCGGTAATCTCCCGTATTCTTATTAGCCACTATGTAAACATATTATATAATAATGATTTTATAAAAAGAAACATTCAAGCATAGGTGTACATTATAGTAGTACAATATTACATTAGTAATATTGTGTTTTGTGATTGTTTAGATATTTGATCAATATGTTAGTATAAGATAAAAATAGATATAATTAATAATATTAACCTCATTAGAACCATCCAGGTCTATATCCATGACAATAATAGATCTGACATTGTCACCAGTTACTGTCCATAATATTTCATTACCTTTGCAATCAAATGCTTGAATCGAGCAATTGCCGCCGATAATAATTGCTGGATCTTTCATAGAATTGAGTTTGCCGATAGCAATTGCTGCAACACCATCAGGTATCTGAAAAACGATTACTTTAAATAGTGATTGGTATAAATAATAATAATCGTACACCAAATGAAAATTATAATGAATAATAACTATAATTAAATAAATAGTTAAGTTTGTAATTTTTTTGTTTTGTATCCGTCAACATCTTTTGGAGCAATAAACTAGATCTATAGTTGATACTAAAATACTGGTAAAAATTAAAAAATATCGCTGTAGTTTTAAAAATAGTTTGGCAGAAGTAATAAAATAAATATAATTAGGGAGAAACATGAATTTCTTATTAATTTTAGACAAAATTTCTTATTTTGTTATAATTCATTAAAATACGAATAATCATATTTTAATAACTATTATTATACTAGAATTTTCCAAAACATAGTAAAATGTTCATAATTTTTCTTTTCTCCTGAGTCATTTATAAACTACTTAAAATGATTTTGTTTCTACAAATGCAGAAAAAAATTTAGGTTGTCAAAAAGCTTGACAATCGACTGGGGTCACCATAGGCGGAGATTTTGTGAAATATTAAGGGGGGCTCAAATATTTGATGAAAAACAAACCCGGGGGGCATTGCCCCCACACCCCCAACAAACTTATTTTTACATTAGATCACTCATAAATAATTGTTATTATAACAACTTAAATAGTTACAAACATAAAAAAAGAATAATTAATAAACGATTTAAATTTTAAATTTAAATATTTCAAACATATTTGAACTAAATTATTTATTAAAAATCTAAATCACAATCTCAAAAGAAATGTATTCCCAAGAACATCAAACAATAAGTAAAATATAATTTAGTATAAAATGGTCAATACGGTTAACGATTCATTCAATCGCGATAAACTTTACGATAGGTTTAATGCAGCTATAGCGATAGTCCTATAATAGCTATATATCGCTTCTCGAGATTTATCAAAAATTAGGAAAAGAAATAATATTTTTCCCATCTAAAATAGAATGGTATAATATGTTATTCAATATAGATGGCCAATTGGTACAAAATATGTACAATATTAGGTATATAAACACAATATGATATTATTGTGAATTGTGACTTAATTGTTCGGTATGTTACCGTAAATAATAAATTGGTAAATAGTGTGTATGTAATGTACTAGGTACACTTTTATAATTGTGGATATAAGAATATAAAATAATGAAAAAAGTTCTGCAAACTGTACAAAATGACGGTATTGTTTGTTTAATATTCTTAGGGGGTCTTTAACTTCAAATCATTTATTTTGGGGGGACTAAGCCCCCGTAAGCCCCCCCCCCCGATCTCCGCCTATGGGGGTCACTAAAGGAAAACTACCTAACTTTTCAAATTTGAACAAGCAAGGTTACGGGGCATACGTAAACTGCGCCCAAATGACCTTTTTTTTTGTAAGCTGCGCCCGAATTTTTATCCATATTAAAAAGGTATAATGTAAACTGCGCCCAAATTTCTATCTATGTTAAAAGGTACTTACAAATTCAGCTGCGCGCCGTTTGTAAAATATATTAAACTTTTGAATTATTAAAGTCACTATGATTGTGTACTTTTGCAATTATATCACAGAAATTATAGTGTTGTCTAAAAATACCAACACGTTATCGAATAGTTATTGCAGTAATACGGTATCTACTGATGGATCAATCACTACATCCGGCATGGGGCTACTTAGTACATATCGTATTCAGTTTAATCAGTGAAGTCACGATGGCTGAACAATTCGTTTCGCAGCGCGAAAAAAGCTTGAAAATAATTGAAAAATTTAAATTTCGGAAAACTAATCGGCCTCTGAGTTCGGGTGAGGATAAGTGGCGATGTACAGTTAAAACTTGCACAGCATTTTTAAAAACGGTAGGTGATGACGAAATAATCACTGAACAAAATTTAAACCATAACCATAAATCTTTAAGTGATCAAAACCTCCAAAAACAATTCGTGACTGGTATTGTAAAACGCAAGGCAACTGAAGATATATGTACCAAACCAAGTAAAATATTTTGTAACGCTATTAAAAATTTGCCACTAACGGAACATTTGCAAGTAAGTGATGTACGTAATATAAAAAGAAATATATATAATGCTAGAAGAAAGACATTGCCTCCATTCCCTAAATCAATCGAAGAAGTTCAATTAATTCTTGACGAACGCGGTGTTCAAACAAATAGAGATGAGTTATTTTTATTAATAAACAACAAGGAGTTGAAATATGTTGTTTTCAGTTGCATTTCTAATTTAAAAGCTCTTGCGTTATCAAAATGGTTGTACATGGATGGTACGTTTTCATACTGCCCTAAATACTTTACACAAATGTTTACAATACATGGTTTTATCAACGGTTATTATATACCACTCGTTATATGTTTACTCTCCGATAAAAGTACAATATCATACACTAATTGCTTAAAATCTATTTGTGAATATAGTTTCCAAAACAATATAACTATTTCACCATCCGATGTTGTAATAGATTTCGAGAAAGCTATTCATTTTGCATGTAAAACTGTTTGGCCTCAGATAACGATACATGGATGTCGATTTCATTTAATACAGTCCTGGAATAGATGTATCCAACAAAATGGTTTGAGTAATGACTATAAAGATAAAAACAGCGATATTAGAAGGTGGTTAGTGAAATGCTATGGTTTACCATTTCTAAGCCCAGGAAGTGTATCAGAGTATTTTGTAAATTATTTAATGGAATCAAAGCCTGACGACGAGAGAGTAACTCGATTTGCAGATTATTTGGTAGATGTATATATAAGTGAAGAAGCTCAGTATTCACCTGAAATATGGGCTCAAGCATCAGCAGAGCCAACTTTAACCACTAATGCATGCGAGTCATTTTATTCTCACTTTAATTCTAGCTTTTTCACTACTCATCCAAATATTTTCATGTTCTTAGAAAAGTTAAATGAAGTTCAAATAGAAACATATATTAAACTAAATAGTATAAATGTACCCTTTAAATACCAAAATTCTAAGACAAAAAATAAACGAAAAACGTTACAACATTTAATTAATAAATATAATAGTGGTCAAACTCCAATTGATGAATATGTATCAACAATATGTTTTTTTTGTCCTAATATTGTACTTTTTAAGATTATATATTTTTTAATTTTTAATTTTATTCTCAAACTCCAATTGATGAATATGTATCAACAATATGTTTTTTTTGTCCTAATTGTACTTTTTAAGATTATATATTTTTTAATTTTTAATTTTATTCTATTAATTATTGATGCTATATAATGGATGTAATGAATTAAATATATTAAAGATTGTAATTTTAGACAAGCAATTCTGTAATTTTGTTTAATTTGGCAAAAATATAGCTATTCAATTTTTAAAAGTTTAGCCGGGCGCAGTTTACATATTATGTAACATATGTCACCTTTTTACATTTGATAAAACTCGAGCGCAGTTTACATATCACCTTTTTACACACGATAAGAACTCGGGCGCAGTTTACATGTATGATTTCGTGTTTACCTGTACGTTGGGCGCAGTTTACAATCGCCGAGGTTACGAGAAGTCCTCGGCAGCTCGACTTTTTTGAATGGATTTGTTTCCAGGTTATGATATCTGTTGTTTATTCGAAATTGGTCTCAAAACTGTTCATTATAAATTATACCCCTTAGTTACTAAAGCTTAGTATAACATAGACACTATTATAAATAGGTATTAAACAATAAACAAGCAATACAATTGAGCGCTGTGCGCGCATGCGTATAAATAAAACAAAAGTGTAAAACACCGATAATAACTTAAAAACTTATGATTTCCGCCTATTTATTTTTGCATCATCATTTTTAATTCGTTGAAATACATAGGTTACCCCAAAAAATTATAATAATTCGGGTGGGCGCTAAACTACATTTAGATTCCCAGATTCCCAGATTCCCAGTAATAATTGGCTGCTTACGCCGTCATGGTGAAAAAAATATTTTTGTTTTTCCATTGGTTTAAATTCCATGTGACTTTGTGATTTAGTTTTTATTAGATCCATAATACTAACATACTAATAAGGGATAACCAATAACCATCACGATTTAAAATAGTACTATCTTAAATCGTGGGGATAACCGAAGTGGTTTAATGGTTTTGATTGTTTTTTGGTAACTATTTCATTTTTTAAAAACATAAAATTGATGGTATTTTACATTAAAAATAATTGTTATACCTAAAAAATTAAGGGGTGCTCAATTAGAAATTGGAGATTCCAAAGTCCCTTTTGCATTCCTCCCCCTGGTTGCACCAATGCAGTCATGTATTCGTGTGACATCACTTTTTTTAATTTGCGATTGCAGCTATGCCTATGCGCTTGTAAAGGATGAACTGCTGAAGAATGTTTGTGGGGCGACAATGCGCGCGATCGGCCGGTCGAGAATATTCTCGAGGTGACACGGCTCGGTAGTGGCTCCCGCATTAGGTACTGAGCGAGAATATTCGAGAATAATATATAATAATAATATTATTAGACATATTATGTAAAAACAGTATAATATATTCTTTGTTACACTTACAGTTAGTAATAATATATTATTATTTATGCTCACTGTGTCATATAATCGTGAACATTCTCGCGCTTACCAGTTACCACAGACTTATACTATTATATCTAATATGTATATTGCATAATACCTATGATCTACCTATATAAGCTCGAGTAGAGTACTAGAGTGGGATTTATCAAGCTTAGTCCATAGTTAGATGTACAGTATAAATATATATAGGTATATTAATCCGAGAAACTTAATTTCCACTGATAAACTAATATATTAAAATTGTTTTGTCATGTAAAGGATACGATTGTGCATGCGTTAAGGTGTAACAGTAAACAGGTCTTTTGTTACCTGAAATGACTTAAATTTGTATGTACAGAATATTACACTTATTTAAAATATTTAAAATTGTAAATGTTGTATTTTTCAGGGAAGTCCTGTTAGACCTAAAACGCATAATTTAAATGTATGTTTAGAAATTCAAGCATTTGAAACTCTGTTAACCATATAGTTTTGTCATTGTTTCATCATTTTTATAGGTTGGCAGAGTGAAAAACTCTGTTTTAATTTTATTGATCAGGTATTTTAAATGACTTCAACTATCGCCGCTGTTTATCTTGTAATATTCTCATGAAAATCTATGTGTTACACCACGTTTTTTTTAGCAAATAAAGCAAAAAGCAAATAAATAGGATATTCAGTTAAGTACCTCAAAAAATTACACCTCATAAGGATTGAATTCTTCCTAAAAATTTCAGAGTGACCAGGTCATTCCAAAAAATAGCCTCGTTAGTAGGTAAGTGACTGGCTTTGAAACCCACTCTTTTTTATTGGAATTTTTTTTAATTCCCTACGAAAATATAGTGGAACAACGCCATCTATGAAGAAAATATTCATGCATCTTGCAGTACATTTCGGATTGATGGGATAACGGCTTTTTGTTGCGTCCTTTAGTAGTTAACTTCTTTCGGCTTTTGCCTTTCAGTAAAAAACTGAAAATGTGGTTTCCCCTTTTGGTCACTTTTTAACACAGTTTGTGAGCTATGATTAACGATGTTCGATAGATATTTATTTCATTTTGAAATACTTACAAAATAGACGGTACAATTGTAATTAAAAGTCTCTAAGAACTTACGAGTTCTTAAGTGTTATAGGTGTTTACATACATTTAAAATAAAAATATCCTACTATTAGGTCATGTATTGTGCATTTGTGCATATTGTTTTTTGATATTATATAATTGAAAATTTCGTGAAGCTACCGATGTATAAAATCGGCGCGTACCTTTGATAATGTTATCTAAATCTAAAGCCTTAAATGTCAAGGTCTCGTAAGGTATAAATGTGAAGTGTGACTATCTACCTTATGCTATTTGTTTTTTAATCGTTGAACCTGTTTTTTTTCTGCAATCATTATCCAATGGCGTGTGTTTGACGCTTGTGGTCTATTGCATGTGCAGTGTAATCCGTAGTTCGTGCAACACGTGTTTGAATTTTTCATTTGAACATTTTTCTCATTAAAACTGATTTTTAAATTTTAAATATGGCTGTTGATCGTCGTTCTATAATTATTAATCTCTATGACATAAATGCATTGAAATTTGGCACATTTCAATTAAAATCAGGTGAATTATCCAAGTATTATTTGGATTTAAGAGTGATTGTATCGTACCCAAAAATACTAGTAAGTTGTAATGATTTTTATTTAAGACCACGCTATCCACGTATGTTGTGTTATTGACACATGTCTAACAAAAAATACATTTCATACAGCAGTAACCAATTGTCTTGTTTTTAGCTTTAATATTTGAGTAAAATGACCTAAGTATTATCAAATTTAAAAGTAAGAACATTGCCTGTCTTTGTATCTTGGTATTTATGGCATTTCTAATTTTTAGTGAGTTATAACTGTACTTACTAATGAGTTGTATACAAGTACCTATACAAAATATTGAAATTTAAAAATGCTAATAGGTCGCTCAGGCATACAGAGAAAAGATCTGGGGGGGGGGGGGCACAGTTTTTTGTTAAAGTTAAATTACAATATTGGAATCATTGTCTAACATGACCTAAGTTAGTAATATCTCAGTGTGGGCACCCCAGAACGATACGTATAATAATATATTATCAGACATACATGTAATTTGAAATATAGTAATATCCGGATCTGTAGAATTATTAAAAAAATTTGGGAAATAATATGTTGGGGGGCCTGGGCCTATAGGTCCCCTCCCTGGATCCGTCCCTGAGTTAAAAATTAAAATATTGCAAAACTCCAGAACATCTGAACATATTCTTACTTTTAGGTTTGTTAGGTAATTGGTCATTTCGCTCTGATATTAAAACTAACAACAAAAAATTAGTTCTGTTATAGGCGATTTAGTATGTTACACATTTGTAACACGGAGACAATACATGCAGATGTACCGTGTTAAAGACTTCTTATACTAATAGCCAGTAGATACCTCCTAAGTAAATTTTTTCATCATTTTTCTAGAAACAAGTTTGTACTCTCGTGTCAACCACCATTCTCCAAGATGATGCTAACTCTAAAAATCAAGTGCGTTTATGTGGTGTACCTTACACAGCTTTACCTATAGCTACTGTAGTATCTATAGATACAAATTTACCAATGTTAATTCGCAGAAAAGAACAGAAAACATATGGCACAAAAAAACTGATTGATGGTGAATATTCTTGTGGTGATGATGTAATTGTCATTGAAGATGTTATTACAAGTGGTGCTAGTATTTTAGAAACTGTAATTGTGAGTATTATACTTGCTAGTTGAAACGTTTTAATACGTCTTTAAACTCTTAACATTATGTTTTATTTATTATAAATTGGAAAATAATATTCAATGAAATTAAAATGTTAATTATTTGTTATTATTTTATATTTATATGATACGATAGTTTAAAATGTGATTTAATATTTGATACTTAATAAACTAAAATACCTATATGTATTGTTTTAGGATTTGGAGAAAAGCAATTTAAATGTATCAAATGTTATTGTTTTAGTAGATAGGCAACAAGGAGGCATGCAACGTTTAAGTGAGAGAGGACTAAAGATCAAAAGTTTATTCAACATTACCGAAGTAAATTTTAAATCAAATTTATATTTTATGTATATTAATTCATAATTAATTCATGCTATGATACATTTTGATTACAGATAAGAACCACAGAATGGGTGAATTTGACCTATTCTGTGATATTACTCTCAAATCTAATTAATAAAGTTAAAGAGCTTAAATGAAATCAAATAAATAAAAATATATCTTTAAAATTGTGTGATAGTTTAAGTTAGATTTAAGTTTAACCAAATTGATTTAAATAATTTTTGTTATAAATTCATAAAGTTAATTAAAAACCTAATAACTTTTAACTTATTTTTAGATTGTAACAATACTTAAGGAAGCAGGAAAATTAAGTGATGATGTATATGAAAGTGTTATAGATTATGTTATAAATAATCAAATTCAACCTACAAAAGAATGTGGTAATAATTTAATCAATACTTGGATTTCGGCACCGGTTTAATATGTTATCTACAAATATTTAGACTTGGGAAACCTGAATTTTTCTTAGGTTATTTATAATACATGTAATGAGGTAATAAATGATCATAGATTTTAATAGTACTGTCGTCATTCTACATGTCAGTAACCAGCTTATAATACATGGAAAAAATAAAGCCGTATTTACGGTAGTTATATAATTTTTACTTTATGAAGTTCCGTCGACTTAATTTTGACATCAACATTAATATGATATGGAAGACAAAAAATAGTTACTGAATAATATATTATAATTATAATGAACTTAATATTAAAATGGTCAAACATATTATTTTTTTTTTTATTTTACTTGTAGTATATATTTTATTATGTAGATAGCATACTAAACTAATGTCCAATAATTTAAACATTTAGTAATGATTTTTTTTTCATTAATCAATCATAATAAATTCTAACAAATTTAGAAACTATTTATTGTTTTGTTAAATATTTTTAAAACCTTTTTTCTTTACCTGTTATACCTAGGGTTGACAGTTTTTTTGTTTGGTGTACTGGTAACTACTCAAATATCGTTTGAGCCTTATACCATAATACCGAAGCAATAGTATATAGTGTGTCGTCATTTATGGCTTTATAGGTATACTGATTCTAGTACCGTAATACCGATATTTGATTTCAGTACCACCAACCCTAGTTATACCACTGGTATTTCTAATTGTGAGCTTATTTTATAGTTATTAATTAATTAACACTATTATTTTATTTTATTTTTTAGAAAAATCATTGAGAACAAAACTGGGGTTTAAAGAAAGAGCTAAATTATTAGAAACTTCTAAAATAGCTCAGAAAATCTTTAACATAAGTTTAGAAAAGAAAAGTAACTTATGTGTTGCACTTGATGTTGATACTGCTGATAAACTTTTAGATATTGCTGAAAAAGTAGCACCACATATTTGTATTTTAAAAACTCATATTGACGCCATTAATGGTGTCACGGATGCTACTATTAATGATTTACAACTCTTAGCCAAACAGTACAATTTCCTTATAATGGAAGATAGGTAATTAAAATGATAGTTATACATTAAACACATTATTAATATTTAATTAATTTCTATGGTTACAGAAAAATGGCAGACATTGGTAATACCGTTAAATTGCAATACAAAAAAATAGTTCATTGGGCAGATCTAGTAACCATACATAGTGTTTCTGGTGGAATGATGTTAAAAGGCATTCAAGAAGTGATTAATGAAAACTCAGACTCATTAGATAGCCGGGGTGTGTTTATTGTTGCAGAATTAAGTTGCAATGGAAATTTAATATCAGAACAATATATCAAAGGTAAGTTAGTATTAGGGCCTGTTAGAAGAAACTACTAAGAACATTTCAGTGATGTGTATCTGCCCATAAATATATTATTTGTATATGATATAAAACAAATTTACCAGTAATAAATTATTTTTGGGCTACTCAAAAACAGGAATATTGGTGGAACATTCTAACAGGCCCTGGTTATTAAAGACAATTTTGTACTTTGAATTTTAAATTGTTCACCAATAAATATTTATAGAGACTGTGAAGATAGCTGAAGAATATAAAGATATTGTGGCTGGTCTAGTGTGCCAGTCGCATGATGTTGTTCCATCACCAAGCCTACTTCAACTTACACCTGGTGTTAATATTAAAAATGCTAAAGATAATCTTGGTCAACAATATCAAAGTCCTAGTGATATTATTTTAACCAAAGGAGCTGATATTGCAGTAGTTGGTAGAGGAATTTATCAAGATGACAATCCTGCTGAAGCGGCTAAAGTATACAAAGAATCGTTGTGGAATACTTATTTGGAACGTGTATCGAATTCTTGATTACGCTATAATAATAAATATGCCAACCATAGATACCATTAATTTTTGGTTTATTTTTCATAAATGTATACAGCTATTTTTGCTACCCATATTTTTACTATTCTATTCTATGTATTAATTTGTATTGTTCAATAACTTCATTGTTAGCTACTAAATGTTGATGATAACTATTAATATGCAAATGTTTGTTCATTGAATACATAATAATATTTTACAAATTGTATTTTTTCAGAACTTTATATATTTTATATTTAAAATTCATGAAGTAATAAATATTATTTATTATTTAATCCAATTTATTTTTATTTTTTTACTATTTGGAAATGATACAAACAAGAAAGTTAGCAACCCACAATTTCTGATAATTAAGGTACACAGTTCCACAATTGTCTTTTTAAAATTGAGTATATAAATATTATATTTTTAAATGAGCCATAACTTTCATTATTATTATACTGTGATACCAATAGTGGTGAGACAGTTTTAACTTATTTGCTTATTGCAAATACACAAAAACTACTTATAATCTTGTATGCTATTAATATTTCTGCTCTGTATTTTTGCAGTCCACGTTAGTTAGGAGTAATGAATTGTTTTGTCATATTCACATATATGAAGCATAAGGAATTTGTACTTATTGAAAATTTTTTTATATATTACACGTGCATCAAATATTTTAATTGCATCAAAATAATTACAGTTTCTTAAATTTTTACTTACCTCTTTAAAGAATAAATCACTGTTGAGATCTACATTATAGGCCAATACACTGCCAACTGTTCCTACAACAAGTATATCTTTTTCATCGTTTGGAATGGCTTTCCCTGCTAGTAAAGCTGTAATTTTCTGATTGATATTCAAATAAGATATGTCCTTCTCTGGCCTGTGTGGACTATGTATTAAAATCTATAACAAAATAAATGTATTAATTTGTTACTTTTTATTATTATAAATTATTTCAAAATATATATGATTTAACATAACCTAAGTATTCAATTTGAAATATTATTATAGTTATACACTGTCTATATAAGGTGCAGTAGTTTAAATGTTTAATATTTAATTTGTATTGGAATTATATAAATGATGTCAATGAATATAATATTTTATCCAAACCTAACCTTCGAACCAGAGAACATGGGAAAAAATAATATAGGTTAGGTTAGTCAATCAACCCCAATGGTGGCAGTAAAATATTAATTAACATTAAATTGATAAAATTTAAAATTTAATCTCATAACCTGTATTTATACTCTAATACATAATATAGTCATCAGAAGTATCATACTTATAAAATGCAAAAACTTTGATTTCACCCTGGATGTATATTTATTAATGAATTTTATAAAAATATAAATTATATTTCACTCTTACCTTATTTTCAGATGTTGCAGCAGTCAAACAGTGATGTGATCCATCATATTTACCTATTGTAACCAAATGTGGTATTATGCTATGTCTTAACTGTAATGAAAATAAAGGAATAGCCATTTTACACTAAAATAAAATAGCATTCAATTTTAAATGTTTAGTATAAATATTAATTACAATAATATTGTGTTTGATTGTACATAAAAATCTATACAATATCTTATACTTTTGGTTTGTATATATACCTGCATAATACTGGAAACCATAGTAACTGTACATAGTGAATACATAGGTAGTGATTAATTAGTAGGTATGTATCTACTGTCTACTACTACCTACTTAGAACATACTACCATTGAGTATAGAATATATTCTATTGTATATAAGTAACTAGAGTTAGGTAGGTACTAATATTAATAATATACATACTGTATATTCATATCAGTGCTGTTGTCAGGGGGGTACTGGAGGAAAATGTTTGGGGGGGGGGGGGTTCTGGGTAAGTATTAGGTATAGGCCCACTGATCCTAGGATTTATAACGTTTGATGACGACTACCCTATTCCGTACGGACACTGCGCCACTGCGGTTAAATAATTCGATTAAATTTTATTTTGTTGTAATTTATCATTATCGTTTGGTTGGTGCCAAATTGGTTCCCGAACCTCATCCCCACTTACCGAATTGGTTCTGGTTTGAAAACGGGGGTTTTACGAAAGTTGCCTAATTGGTTCCCGTTTAATTACCCACTTACCCAATAGGCACATATTTTTCTTTCTCAATTTTAGGCTTAGAACTGTCACTTATATAGTAGACTTAGTTAAAAATGTGCGATTGATTTGCAAGTTTTCTTCAATTATTCAATTTGCGTAAGTTTCTCATCAATGTATGAGAAGTAGTAATGCAGTTTTTCCGGTATTGGTTTTTTCTTTCCTGAAAGTTTCTCTGCATTATTACTTCGAAATTGAATATAACGCCAATATAAAGATTTATTGCAAATTTTATTGATTTCATACTCCAAAAGAGTGCTTAAAAATGAAAATTGTAACTATTTGACTTGAACAAAAACGGAAACCAATTCGGCTCAACTTAATAAAATAGGTACCTTTTTCAAATGGGAAACAATCTGATTACTCCCTGTTGTTTCTCACATAAAATGACGATTTACGATCAAACAAGTTCGGACCTTGGTAGGTACATACTATATTTATCTATTTAAAATTATGTAAAATTTAATTGAATATCTATAGAAAATTTGATATTTTTCACCACAGTCGTATACAGGCTATACAATTTTTTGTATAAAATACATCCGTGATTTTCACCATAGGTAGAGTACCTAGGTATAGACATTTTTTTATTTTATATATATTTTCACGGGCTGAGTTATTAGCTTACAAGGATAAAAACAATTTATATTATTTTCATTTGACAAAAGAATAGGTAAGACGGCCGTAAGTGTATGTATATTTATTGTCTTAGCTTAATATATTAAGGCTCTCTAAATAAGTGTACAGCGGCAACTGTATTTAAAAACAAACATAAATTAATTATCATTAAAAAGTAAAATTCGGGTCCTCATTGACGTTTGACATTAATTGCTTTAATTAGTAAGAGGCATCAAATAAGGGGTAATCGGAAAAAATTCCCGGTTAAAAAAGTCCCTCACTAGGAAAAAAGGAAAAAAAGTTTAGTAAGTCATAAGAATAACATAAGAAAGAGTTGTGATTACAATATTATATTGTTGATTGCATTATTATAATAATTATATAGGTACCTACTATTGTGCTTATTATATAAGACTTGTTTAATTAATTTACTTTTTCACAGAGTGAGACATTTTTTATCGGGATTTTTTTTCCGTGATTCGTAAAAGGGAGAGGTAGATATAGGGTTGAGTGCTGACTACTGTTGAGATAGGGGCCTTAAAACAAATTAGGAAGACAAGTGCAGATGGTTCGACTTTCCAGTACATCTTTCACGTTCAATGATTTTTATAACTGTGCGACCGTAACAATAAGAGCAAAACAGTAACGTCAGCACTGTGCAACTGTTGACTGCTTAGTGCTCAATGCTTTAATTATGCATTTATGCTTGTAGCATGTGATAACGTTTATAATAATTCATATTACGTTCTGTGATATTACATTACCCGGATGTTCGAGTTTCATAGAGTTTTTTAACGTCTTATCAGATAACACAAAATAATAACAGGTTCTCCGAGAAAAAATACAAATCCTAAAGACATTAGAGACTTTAGAGTATTGGACAGTCTATAGAGTGTAGGTGGTAGACGATACACTTATTGTATCCACTATCCGATTATTTTATGTTGCAATTTGTGATTATTGAATTGTATATTCTTTTCAATCATGATTCATAGTTTATTTATTATAAATTCTGCTTGGTAAGTACTCTGTATACCTAATTGTCCTAATTGCTTGTAAACTAAGGATTTTCACTTACTTACTAATATTGTATTGGTTTATTTTCTAGTGATGTTTTTATAGAAAAACACTGGAAAAGTATTATTTCTCGATCAGTTTGTGACTACTTTTTTGATCAACATCGAAAAGCCATCAATCCAGAAGACATTCCCCCTGTTATAGCAACACCACATCATTATTTGATTAGTATCTATCGATGTGGTCTTTATTTTGTAGCTGTTTGTATGACAGAAGGTTAGTTTCTCAGATATACAATAATAATACTTTTTTTTAATATAAATTAATTAACTGTTTTTCTGTAATTACAGTTCCACCATTGTTTGTCATAGAATTCTTACACAGAGTAGTTGATACGTTTGAGGATTACTTTTCAGAGTGCTCTGAAAATGTTGTTAAAGATAATTATGTTGTTGTATATGAAGTAAGTTGGTCTATGTAATATTATAACTATTAATTAATTATTAATTTATGGTAACTAGCTTTTGGATGAAATGTTAGACAATGGCTTTCCATTAGCTACTGAATCAAATATTCTGAAAGAACTTATTAAACCTCCAAACATTCTTCGAACAATTGCCAATTCTGTTACAGGGAAATCTAAGTAATAATTCCATAACATCTGATTATGTATTTTTTTTTTCTGTTAATACTTAAAATCTAAATATTTATGTTTATTAATGTTGTTCAGTGTAAGTGCAACGTTACCCAGTGGTCAATTATCAAACGTTCCGTGGAGGAGATCAGGTGTAAAATATACCAATAACGAAGCTTACTTTGATGTAATAGAAGAAGTAGATGCTATTATTGATAAAGGTGGTTCTACAGTATTTGCTGAAATTCAAGGATATGTAAGATATTTTCATACTGCAAATAAACAATATAGATACAATTTTTTTTTGTTTTAAAAACTAGAATTGTTAATGATAATATGTATTATTTAATACATAATAAATTAATTGATAAAAAAATTAATTTGAACTAGATTTGCAACAAATATTATTTTCTACTTCTTGCATAATAAAAATATAATAATTTAAATAGAGTAAGTAATATACCTAAAATTATATTTGATTGTAAATGTATTGAACTAACTATGTTTTTACTTCAATCTTATTGACATTGCAGTATTGGTATGTGAATACAATTTACGGAGAGAATTAACTTTTGCGTAATTATTTGATTACTTGAAATATTAGTACTTATTCAATGGCGTATAAAATTAATGTGGCTAAATAATTCTGAATATAATTAATTATTTTTTTATCGGATAATTATTCAACTTCATTATAAGTTATTAATTTAAACTGAAAAATTATTGATATATTTCATAGTTTTTTTTATTCAATATTACTCGACAAATGTGGAATAATGTGCTGCCNAGGGGGGGCAGAAACTGCCGAGACTAGCCTCACAAAAACGATAGTCCATAAAAAAAACTGCCGATCGACCTCCTCATTAATTTGAAATTGTTATCTTTAATTCCAAAAATAGTTTTATTTTAATTTTAATTTTAAATATATTCAATTTGTTTACAACAACTAACAATAAGTAACAAGGATAACAAAATATTTACAAAGACATGAATAACATGAAGAGGAGACCATTCATTAACAGAACCTCAGAGACTTCTTATTTTTTTTATTTTTTATTTTTTTTATTGTTTAATTTTTAACTTTTTTTTTTCTCTATTTTAGAAGGTCTCTAGACCAGTTTCTTTTTAATCGACGGGGAATTTGTGGTAATGTGAGAGTGGACATGTTTTTAATAAGTGGGTTTGAGTGGTTAGTTAATTTGGAGTGGATATTTGAATATTGGCTTTTAGCAAGTTTGTTAACAGTTTGAATTTTTAGGTCGTTGTGGAGAGCTACATTTGTTATGTACCAAGGAGCACCGGTGAAAAGTCTTAGCGTAATGGATTGAAAGGCTTGGATAGGACGAATATTTGCAGGTTTAGCTGGCCCCCAAATTTGGATGCCATATGACCAAATTGGCCTAATAATTACTTTGTATAGCAGTAGTTTGTTTTTAAGGCTTAAGTTGGATTTCAGTAGAGGTCTAAGTAGATGAAGGCGAGAGTTGAGTTGTTTGCGTTTTTGCTTAGTATGGCTTGACCAGGTTAGTCTTTTGTCCAGAGTGATGCCTAAGTATTTGGTTGACTGGCTTAGTGGAATTTGTTTGTTATTAAATTTTAGTGGGGGGCAATCCAATTTTTTTAGGGATAAGTTTACCTGAGAAGAATTGTTGTCGTTAATTTTGATTTTCCAGTTTTTGGCCCAGGATTCTATTTTATTTAAATGTAGCTGTAAATGTTGAGACGCCAAAAATAGTTCAGAACATATTTACACACCACTATTGAGATAATATTTTTATGCGCATATATGTATTTAAATATATTGGATATGGTTGACAAAAGTAGATTTACACATATAATTGAAAATATTTAAAAAAAAAAAAATGTTTTTTGCCATGTTATAAGTATTCAAGAGAAGCTGTCTCAAGGTTTCCCCCAACTTTCCCGCTCCTGATACTATGTATTGAATATATTGTATCTTTTTTTTATAAAACTTAAATGTAAAATGTAAAGTTTTAAAGAAGCTTATTTATAAAAAATGATTATGCTTATAATAAAAATATATGTACCTTGTATATAATTTAAACATTCTTCATCTATGATTTTTTTTTTTAAGATTGATTGCAGCATAAAACTTACTGGGATGCCTGATCTCTCTTTATCATTCATGAACCCCAGACTTTTTGATGATGTGAGCTTCCACCCTTGTGTTCGATTTAAAAGATGGGAGGTAATCAATCAAAACAATTATACATTATAGTATTTAAGTTCTGTATGTAAAATAGAATATTTGATATATTAATTTTTTTTTATAATAGTCTGAAAGAATTTTATCATTTATACCTCCGGATGGTAATTTTCGGTTAATGTCATATCATATTGGGTCACAAGGAATAGTTGCTATTCCAATCTATATACGACATA